ATGACAAAATCTTAAAAAAAAAAAAAAAAAGAAAAGAAAAGAAAAAAAAGACAACTCCATAGACTTAAGCATAAGTCAATGGAATCTGGAATCTTGGTAAAACTGTGAGAGACAGGGAAATTAAAATGACATCTGTTCATCTCTTTTAAGGACAGAGGGGGAAAAGAAACCAATTCTATTTTAACATATTGAATCTGTGTTGACAGAAAGCAAAAGTATTACTTAAGTCTCTCTGTGGTAAGGAAATCTAAAGCCTTCTGATCAAGTGAGAGGAAAGCACAATGGTAAAGAGTACTATACCAAGAGCCAGAAAGCTGGGCTGCAGGGGCCAGTTGTGGCAAAGTGATAACAAGAGAACATACATGGGAAAGGTCCTCGGTTCACTTCCCAGGACCATCCTGTGCACACATATGTGTGTCCACCATCTGAGGTGGCTCGGTCTGGGAGTGGGTCACAGAGTGGAGACCTTGTTGGGGGTGTTATCTCTCTCTCATGGAAAAATAATGAATAAATAAACTTTAAAAGGGGGGACAGAGGCACGTGCAGTATCAGCACCGCAAAGATGGCAGAACCTGAACAAAGGAGAAAGATCCCTTTGGTTCCAGAAAATCTCCTGAAAAAGAGAAAAGCTTATCAAGCCCTCAAGGCCACCCAAGCAAAGCAAGCACTTTTGGCAAGAAGAGAGCAGAGGAAAGAGAAAGGGCCCAGATTTAAGCGACTGGAATCGTTCTTAAATGATTCCTGGAGGCAGAAGCGTGACATGGTACATCTCAGACGACCTGAAGTGAAACCTCATGCCTTGGAAATGCCCGATAAACATTCATTGGCCTTTGCTGTGTGCATCAAAAGGACTGATGGGGTGCGTTCAGTGGTGCAGAAGACCATTGCAAGACTGCGTCTAAAGAAAATTTTCAGTGGCGTTTTTGTCAAGTCACTCCTCAGAGCCTAAAGACACTGCGAATAGTGGAACCTTATGTGACCTGGGGATTTCCAAATCTGAAATCTGTCTGGGAACTCATCTTGAAATGTGGGCAAGCCAAGGCCAAGAATAAGACGATTCCTCTAACCGACAACACAGTGATTGAGGAGCATCTAGGGAGGTCTGGCGTCATTTGTTTAGAAGACCTCATTCATGAAATTGCCTTCCCGGG